AAATGGAGAATACGTTCAGAGATGAATGACGATAAACACAAGTACGCATTGTAATGAATGTAATGTACAAATATTGTTAAATATATAATAATGATATGCCTGGCGACGATGATAATGACGATGAAGACTAATGTCAAGTATTTTTAAATTTGCTACAGATATGGATTTTTTTTTCAGAGGTGAGTCTGGCCTTCGTTGGCAAAACCCAGCACCCTCGTCGCGAAAAAGGAGGTTTCATCGGAGAATAAAACAAATATTTATAAAATATGTCATGTTATAAAGTAGGTCTAATCTTTTACGTATAGCATAACGTTTCACCATGGATGGTGTGATTTACAACAATTATCAAACCATATTACAATAGCTTGATGCCTATCAAATAACGAAAAAATTGCCAATAGTATCGCCAAATACGCGTAGTCCACCGGGGGCCCTTGGTGGTTCCCGGCCCCCAGCTTAAATGCTCGCTTCGCTCGTGTACCGACCATAGGAAACAAATACCTAGTAATTTTTTTCTCCGCTACGCCACTATATATATATATATATATATTATTCTACAAACTGAAACATTATACAATGTGAATTAGGAAAACATTATAATTTTGAATTCTGTATAAAATCTATTGCAAAACAAATACTGTAGGTATTATACTTGTAAGACGTGTTTATAGCAAAAACAGATCAACTAAGTCTGTTGAAAATTTGAATATCAAGTTTATATTGAACTAAAATGGTGTATATGGAACAAAATATATAACAGTTATAACACGTGTTATTTGGTACGATTAAATATAATATAAATTACGACTTGAAACATTTAGAAAGTTGCATATAAATGTTTTGTGTGTAAAATAGGAACTGTTATAAGGACTTTCTGGCAAAACAGTTCACTGTTGACAAGAACACATTCTTTTAATATTACTAAGCTCGTCTGTAATTATTTATAAGTTCATTTAACTTTTTTTTGCAGTTGATAACTTCTTTTTGTGTAGCTTCAGTCTGGGATGAAGGAATAAAAATGGCACATATGCTCTTTTTGAATTAAAAGCCTCATTCCATTGAATATATTAACGCGCTGTGATTCAAGCAATGAATCATGGGTAATATTTATTCTGTTTGTTTCAGTAGTAACCATGATGCTGTGGTCTCTGTTCGTTGTTGGAGTACTAATGACTGTCACTGACGCAGATTGTCCGGATGGCTGGAGTGAATACGAAAGCGCCTGCTACATATACTTCATGGATCACGACAACTGGAATGACGCTCGTACTCATTGTCATTCATTTGATTTTTCGTGCAATGACAAATATGCTCGTCTTAGTTTGGCTACACTCACTAATGATGGAGAACGCAAGTTTGCCAATTCACTTTGGAAAGATGCAACTGGTGGAAGGATCACTGATACATATCGTGCCAGATATTGGATTGGGTTATACAAGAATAACGAAGGGTGGCATTGGGACGACGCCAGAAAGGTGGTTGCTGACGAGCTAAACTGGGCAAAGGGCGAGCCAAATAACCAGGGAGGGCATCAAAATTGCGCTGCTGTGTGGTTTGATGACCTAACATGGGACGACCGCAACTGCTACACTCCAGAAGGCCTTGCCTATCTCTGCGAATTTAAATGCGAGTGAATTTGAATGCTGTCGACACAAACTTTGTAAAAGTTTGGTCATGATTAGCCAAACAACTTTTATTTTTTACATTTTATCGCACTTAGATTTTGAATAAACACTGGCGTCAATTACCACTAAATAACAATGTTCCTGTTGTTTGAATAACAAGATACCTAGAGTTGTTCAAACATTGCCTGAATATATTAAACATCTTTATCATATATTAAATTACGTTACCTATTGATAACAAGTATGTTCATTGCTCATGTCGTTCTTCTGTTTACTCATAATCTACATTATTAATAAATGCACGTAAAGTCACGCAACACCTTGCCATGCGTCATTTTTTTGTCATTGCTATGCAGAACATTTAAGCCTTCGCATAGAAATAATAGGATATTGTCTTAACAACAAGTATTTAATCATCCTACCAAGGAGAAAAGCTTATTATTCCCTCGGTTGCTTATATACTCCCCTTTGCAAGCTGATGCTGCTTTACCGTTTGAATAACCTTTGTTTGCACAATTTCATTTTAAGCTTGACAGGTTACAAATGTGATGCAAAGTATTTTATAAGTTTTTAAGTTTTTGTGATTATGGTATTTGCTTCATAAAATTTAAGCTTATCACAAATATATCTCTAGTTTTGGAAATTCCGAATAATTAGGCACTATCAAGTAGGCCTATATCCAAATATTTCTCAAATACGTCGTGGTTCCATGTGTTATGAAAATACTAAGAAGGACGATACAATCTTCCATGAGTGGTTGCGACGACAGATTTTTAACACAAACTGACGTCATAACACCATGACGTCTCATCAAGCATAATGTTCAGTGTTATATATCAGAATTCGCATTAATTATAGCTGTACAACCATAAATCTGCAAAAATATTGTGATGTAAGTAAACAAACAATCGTAATTATCATAATATTATAATTGTAACCTGTAAAGCACTAGTTTTAAAATGGAGAATACGTTCAGAGATGAATGACGATAAACACAAGTACGCATTGTAATGAATGTAATGGTTCCAATCATTGGTTAATCAAGCCGAACAAAATGCCACATCAAGTATACCTATCAAAAATATTCTTATTAATACTCTGGTTACTTAAATCCCATACTATAAATCGACTATGCAAAACAATTCATTAAGTTACTGAAACGAATAAGGCATCATACCACAGGCTATCTTAACATCTTATAAAGAAAGATACTTCTCAAATAGAATCAAACGAATCATACTACACTTCTGAATACGTGGTTAAGATATACTGAAAGGAGTTGCATTAATAAT